GGGACAGCATCTGAGTGGGGGATAGTGCCTTTAGTTTAGCATAGTTATGCCAATAGACAGATAGACATGCTGGTGTGAGGGGGAATGTTCTCACAACTTTTCTCTGCTAGTCTTATTCAGTAAGTTTGTATATATATGTATGCATATATCCTTATTGTGGGTACTTTACCAAATACTAGAATTCCAGCTAGAGTGACTTGTTAGTAGCCTGCCCTCTGTTAGAGCTAATGGGTTGCAGGCATTGATTTTTTTTCTGTTTCTATTGATTAGGAGGCTGCTGTACATACAAACCTTAGCACAGCATGGAAAGAGAAAGGGAGGCAAAATAGTTCACATCCCAGCAACTCATCATGGCGGAAAATTCATCCTGGGAATCTCTGTCTTCTCCAACCCACAGGGTTCATGAGATGATACTTTTTTTTTTCCCAACCATCTTCAAATAGCAAACATTTCAAAGGTTACCATTCAATGGAAGAAAAGGTTGCATGAGAAAAAGAAGTCTCACATGGGAAGCACAGGAGTTCTAGCTTCAAAACTCAAAATGAAGCTGATCTCTTGGGTATCCATGGGTGCCCAACTCATTCATAACAGCACCCAGATCCTACTAAAATCAGCTTGAACACTTTCACTTGGGTGGGCTTTGTGTTTATGTTCTGAATTTTTCTGTGCCTCAGTGCCTCTGCAAACTAATGAACATGTTACTTTGTAAGAGGATTGTGAGAGGCTAACTGAACTGTTTGCACAACATTTAGCTTGGAAGAGGATATAGGTCAGAAACTGAGGGATTTATGTATGGCAGCATTATAACCTCATATTTGGTGCCTGCCAGAATTCCACTCCTGTCTATCACGAGTTTTTTGTGCACTCTCAGGGCAGTACCCACATCAGTTTTGCATGGAAATATGCTCATTTTAACTGTTAGATCTCTGTATCCCATATATCGATTTCTTTCTTACTTTCTATAAGAAAGTGTTACACTAGAGATAACTTTACTGTAGGACTGAATATTTGACGTTTAAACTGTCTTTTAAGTTGATCTTCAAGTTATATGAACCTGAAGATAAGAAAAGAGGACCGGTGAGGCTTTTTCCTTGTGTATTCATCTCCCTATCTCTATCTCATCTCAATTTCTAGCTCCTTCACTTGTGATTCTTTGGCAAAAACCCACAAATCTTCTTTTCTTAGCTTGCTAGTTTGTTAAATTGGTCTGGGAAAACCACCAGCATGAAGATACGATGCGAATAACGTTTCTTAAGTGCTTTGGGACCCTCAGCTTTGGATATCAGTGATGACTGCTCTGATTGCACCCTCTGCTTGTCTAACCATACAGATATGTGACATTTTTCTTTCTTCATGAACTATCGTACATTTTAGTTCTCTTTCTGCACCTTATCTCACTTTTATCTTCTCTGCCCCATTGGCTTCCAGTTCTATGATCATCACCCTAACCCCAATTTGTTTGTCCTAACATCTCCTCTGCTGGTGCATCTGCCTATTAACACCTCTGCTCTGCCTGCAAATACAGCTGCATCAACTCCATCTCTTTTACATCTCATTACAGCAGCTCCTTCTGAGCTGGCCTCCCCAGGATGAAGATTCCTGGATACCAATTTTTATACTCTATTGCTGTCTGATTTTATCCTACGTGCCAAAGAGCTCCACTGCAGCACTCAATCCACAAACACTCTATTCAGTCTCATTACCATCCCATGGAGTTCCTTCTGACTTTGTGCCCTTCATCTTGCTTCCTGTATCTTTCTCATGCCCCTTTTTTTCCTACAGCACTGCCCCTTCTCTCCACAAATAGCAGCACTCTTGGTTTGCCATTGGAAGCAGACTTCCTGTGGCTCCCTGTCTCATCAGCTTCTCATTTCAAGTAATTTAAAATGTAATTTAAAATCTCTCTATTTCCTCCAGACTATTAATTTCTCTCTCCTTACTCTTCTATAGATGTCATTCCATGTTGTGCTATTCAGGAAGATGCGACTGGTAAAAATCTGCCACAGTGTTTTTATTCTGTGTTCTTGTTTTGTGTTATCATTTTTAATGATTCTTTGTAGGAAAGATGAAATCTCAGCACAGCATCTATCCACAGCACAAGCAGTCACACAGGACAGTCTGGCATTTGCATTGCCTTTGTTCCATTCTTCTCCTGTGGCATTTAGAACTGTAGAGGGATTATTGTGAATGGTCTAAGAGTGTATAAGTAGGGTAGCAGGAAGAGAATTATTTCTGGAAATGGGGAAGTGTGAGGCAGGAAGCCGTATTTGGTTCTGATCCTGAGATGTGCTGAGTTCTCATAGGTCTCACTTCTCTTAGCCAGACATTAAAGAAATCGTCACCCTGCAAACCTGGCCTTCTTACACTAGCAATTTCTTTTGGGAGAACATACCCCTCTCTTGTTGCTGTAATACACATTTTTGAGAGTACAGAGTAACTGAGGAGCCCACCTTCCTTGGAGGTATGAGCTCCACAGATTTCCAGAGTGGTTTTCCTATCCGCACATGCAATGTTTGTGCCTGATGGATTTGAGTGCCAGAATAACCAGATGAAGTTTTTTCCTCTTCAGAGTTTTTCAGGCTCCTGGCCCAGATTTTCTACCTTCCTTTGAAGAATGAGAGCATTTGAATACTGGATAGAGTTGGAGAGGAATGACCACCAACACAAAAAGAAAATGCTCAGAGTCCCAAGAACTACTTATTCTTCCCATATGCGTTCCCTCTTCAAGGCACCTTCCTTCTTCCAGTGAAAATAGAAGGGAAGGTCCTTGAGTGATCTTCTCTAGCTTTCCCAGAGAAACCCTCACAGAGCCTCCTCTTCAACACAGGCCATCCCTGTATAGCCCTAATCTCCCACCATCTTAGATGTGTTCTCTGCATCTCTCCGCCTCTCAGATTCCTTTGCACCAAGTATAACAGTTCAGAGAGCCTGTCCACAAGCTACCATCCTCCACACTCTTGCAGCAGGCTGTACTCAGGGTACTAAAGATGTTTTGGAGCCACCCCCCCCCCTTTTTTATCCCCAGCTTTTTGGCAGCTCTGTGAGTGCAGAAAGAGGCCCTGCAGGCTCCTATGGCAGAGGGCAAGGCTAGGATTCCCTCAGATTAGGTCAGGGTTTGTTCATCCCCAAAAAATATCTCAGTGGCCTCAGTCTGCAATGTCTCCTACTACCCCTCCCTTCTGCTTTCCCCAGAGCCTTTCCTTCCTGCTGGTGGTGATCTGCATATGGCTGATGCCAGACACCATGAGTGCTTGCTGATAAACACCTCTACCTTTTTCTCAGCTGTGAGGGCAGCCTGGATTGTACCTTCCAAATAGGGGAAATGATCAAGGGTCTGTAGGGCAGCCAGGGGCCCCTTGGCTGCTTGCTACAGAGCCCTTCATTTCCAATGGTCCCTGGGGCAGATTGTCCTGGAAGGATAGTCTCAGTCAGCACACAGAGAGGGAGAAGGGAGAAGAGATAAATGGAGTTATGAAATTGCGGCATGGCTGAAGCCCTCCAACTGGTTCAACTTCCCAGCACCCACTTCCCTCAGCCCTGCTCCCCCGCACAGAACAGCAGTGAACCTAAAGCAGCTCTTCTGGTCTCCTTTTCACTGAACAATGAACCTGATCAGAGAGAAACAAAATCGGTAGCATCAAGAATTAGATTATTTCTTTTCTTTATGATTGTTGCATTAATGAGCAGCTACATGTATAGAACCAGGAGGTGACTAATGTAATTAACCTGGTGTAATGATACTGCTGAGGAAGAGAGAGAGGATTATACCATACTTAGATGTCAGTATTGCACAATTTTGTGTATGTTCTTGGTACTATCAGGTTGTGTCTGACACAGGAAACTTAAGCAGTGATAGATTTCAGGCTGCATCCATTCAGCTCATACATCTTTATGTGTAAAACAAGGATGTGAAAGGTGGATTGCTTTCCGGGAGTTGTGGGGGTGGAGGTATTCAGTTTTGGTGGTTCCTTTCCATAACAAAATGATAGTAATTACCATAAAACGTCCTTTCTCATGAAGAATCTTCCCAAAATGTCTGCTTCTTGGAGCAGGCATTGGGATTTCACAGAAAGCTATAAAGACAAAGTCAGAACGCACACACTGGGTCCATATAGCACTGGTCAGGAGGAGGCAGAGGGACAGAAAACGAGCAACACCAAGACATATGCAACTTGCAGCGAACCCGAGAAGAGTGAAGAGGAAGCACTTAAAAATCATAACAACAGCAATAAGAGCAGAAATACATGCTTGTTTTTAAATTACCCTTCCACGTTACATTTCACCCATCTCCTGGGGAGAGAAACGGCTGACTGAAGTTCTGTGCGGGTCTAACTGCGGTGTGCGGGTCGCACTCGCGGCTCCAGGCACCTACGGCGGGGATGCGAAGGCGGCTGAGCCGGGGGACGGCGGTGGGGGGCTAAAAGGCGGAAAGCGAGGGAGAGCCCCAGCGTCGCCTTCCCCTGAGCTCCGCGGCGGCCCCCGGGGAGCGACCCTTCGCGGGGCCGGCAGCGCCGGGCGAGGCGCAGGGCGGGGGCAGGCTTGCCCCCCGCCCCTCGCTGCCTGCCTGCTGCCTGCTGCTGCCCGCGCAGAGCGGAGCGGGGCGGAGGAGGAGGGCGGCTGCCGCCCGCGGATGCTGGGGCGCGGGCGGCGCGGGCAGGGCGGGCGGCGCGGGCCAGGGACTGTCCTTCAGCACCGCGGGCCGGGAGCGCTCCGCCCGCACCGCCGCCCGGGGAGCTGTCCTGCAAGCACGGCGGCCCGGGAGCGCTCCGCCCGCCCGCCGCCCGGGGGAGCTGTCCTGCAGCACCGCCGGCCAGCGCCGACACCGCCGCGGGGGAGCCGTCCAGCGCCGCGCCGACACGCCGCCTTGATTGCAAGTAGCGGGGCCCGGGAGTCGCCGCGGGGGCCGCCGCGGGCAGGGGTGCCGCAGCTGGGCTCCGCTTCTGCGCCCCCGCCCGGGAGGGGCGCCGCGCCCGTCCCCCTCCTCCCCCCCCAACCCTCCAGCCCCAGGAGCCCCCCTCTCTCCTCGCCCACCTCCGCCGGGAGCGAGCGCCGCGGCTGTGCGGAAAAGCCATGGGAGGCGAGACCTCGGCACCTGTTCAGCTGAAATCAAGGGCTTACAGTATACTGGGCACTCTGGCTTGGTGGTAGGAGCGAGCGAAAGGAAGGAGAAGCAAGCAAGAAAAAGTGAGAGAGGATTGGAGCGACTGCCGCTGCCGGGAAAAAAAAAAATAAAAACCCAAGGAAGATAACTGGGAAGGAAAAGGATTTTCATGGCGCAGGCTGCAGAGCTAAGCAAGAAGACTGAAGGTTGCATCTCTGCTCTTACAGTCTCTAACTGTCTAGGTCCAGATAATGAGAGATTGTGTTGAGGATGCTGCTGCTGCTCCCCTGTTCACTGTGGAAGCCATCTCCAAATTAGCCATTACATATGGAAACTGGAGACCAGAATTTTAGAAAAAGGGATTAAGGCGTCTCATTTTGGGGGGGGTTCTCTCTTTATTTGTTTGGTTTTTCTTGGTTCTTTTCTCTCTTTTTTTTTCTTTTTCCTTTTTCCTTTTTTTATATTTCAACCAGAACGTTTCCGATTTAAAAGGCAAGCCTCTTCCCGTGTGGTCTTTCTAATTTACACTCTTTTCCGTGGGCTTTCTTACCTCCCTTTTTTGATATCTATCTCTCTCTCTATACCCATTATATTATTAGTCGGAATTATTATTCTTTTATTTTATTAAACACACACACCCCAAGAATCAGAAGGCGGTTGGGTATTTGTATAATGAAGAATTATGGGGCTCTTTGACAGAGGTGTTCAGATGCTTTTAACCACCGTTGGTGCTTTCGCTGCCTTCAGCCTGATGACCATAGCTGTGGGGACCGACTACTGGCTTTACTCCAGAGGGGTTTGCAAGACTAAAACTGTCAGTGAGAACGAAACCAGCAAAAAGAATGAGGAAGTCATGACCCATTCTGGATTATGGAGAACCTGCTGCCTGGAAGGTATTTGATTCTGGACCTCCACACCCCCCCACCCCCTCCTCTCCCACCACCCCACGTTTCTCCCTCCTCCCCCCCAAAAAATCCCTCCACATTCCACCATTTTCTCACTTCATTCCTTTCACCGTGGTTTGAGAGTGGTGGGCTCAGTTACTCAGGGCACAGAGGCAAGAAGACAGGCAAAACATTCACTGTTCCATTCCCTTCTCCCTTCCTCTTTACCACCCTCCCCCACCACCACCACCTTCCCCAAAAATTCACTTCCTCTCTCCAACTGGAATAATGTGTGTGTTACAAAACCACCGAGAGACCCTTTCAAAAAGCAACTGTGCAGTCTGCCTGTCTTTAGCTTGTTTGTATTGCCTGGGTAAGCAATGCTAAAATGCTGTGTTACTGCTGTGCTCCGGCTGCAACCACAGAGTGAAATAATTGCTCTCTTTGCAAATGGCTTATTTGCAAAGACAAGACTGTGAGTGAGGGGCAGCGTGGGGAGGGGGTGACTGCAAATCACTTTGGATGCAATTATTAGTTCCTTTCAGGAGGGAAAAAGAGAGAAAGGGAAGCAACCCTGGTATGTCCAAAATGCCTCACACAGTAAATCTAACAATACCAGTGATCTCAACCAGAGTTCAGAGCATTTTGTAATGTCTGTAAGCAACCACATCTCACTGGGCTGGATGCAAAAGGGAAAGGGGTCTAGTTGGTGGCTGATTGGTTTGGTTTGGGGCTGGAATTTTTCCCCAGTTTGTTTGTTGTTAGAAGGGGGGGGGTGTTCTGGGCTTCTTTTTTTTTTTTTTTTTTTTTTTAAGGTTTATGGTGAAGGCTAAAAATAAACAAGTCTCTGAATGGAAAAATCAGCCCAAGTCTGATGTGGTGAAACTGAACAGCAACTCAGTGACATGTCTGATGGCAGAAGAGACACCGCCGCAGCCAACTTCTGGAATCAGACGTTCTTAAGGGAGGGGGAAAGAAAAGAGGGGCCAGTGATTCGCTTTTAAATACGTATTGCTCAGTACTGCTATTGGTGTACGTGTGGGCTGGGGAGGTGGTCTTCAGCCTGTGCTGAAGGGATAGGGGCAACTGATGTAAATGCGTGGTTTATGTTACACACGTAGTGAGAAGGAGAGAGCGAGAGCACAGGAGCACATTACAGCCCATTGTAAAAGCCCTGTTTATGAATCAGCTCCCAGCTGGACGGTGGGCTGCTGGGGGTTCATGGACATCCAGGGATAAGATCTGTGTCTACCGGTGTCCACCGGAGCTGGGTGTGCCTGGAGATCCCTGATGGGGGAGAAGGGGGAGTGGGTACCGCAGAACTGATTTTCTTAGCCCGGCACAGGGAGATGGAAGGCAGGGGGAAGGGGGGAATAAACTATGTATGTTTTGATGTCTCTCACCAAAGCAAGCTAAAGCTGCTGGTTGGAAATGGTTGTGTCCGGGAAGAAGCATGAATTTCTCCCCCGTTCTTGGTGCAAACGGTTGAGTGATGGCTGAACATGTTTTGAATAGCTAAGTGACTTCATTGAGCGATGGTCTATTTGACGCATACTGCATTTAGTGCCCTTTGTCAACCCAAACTGCTGCCTTTTAACATATCCTGCAGAGGAGCTCTATGCTGAATACTATATGCTGTATCCAAGCCAGAAAATCAATAGCAGTAAATTAATGGGGGATGTTTTAAACACACTTGCTCACACACGCACAGATTTCCTCCAAATAGATAAATATATAGAGTTGTATATTAATAAAAAATGAAAAGCCTTTCACACAGATATTCATTACAACCAGGGAAGGAGACATCTCCTTAATTAAAAATTAAAGAGAGAGAGAAGGGAAAAGAAAAAAAAAAAAAAAAGAAGAAGCTCAAATGCAAAGCCATGCAGGGAAGAGAGGCTGCAGGGATGAACTCCCTTCCCTGAGCCATGTCCCCAAGCTGGAGGGAGGAGGGAGGCTGGGGTGGAGATAGGAGGTATGAGGACCCCAGCCAGGAGAGGCAGTGAATTCAGATCATGTCTATCTGCCCACAGAGCCGTACCCAGAGGGACGCGGTCTGAGGGGGAGGAGGAAGGGGCGGGTGAGGTTTGTCAGATTGGAGGAGCTCAGGGCTCCTTCTCCTTTACATCTGACAGGACCCCACAGGCACTGTGGAGAAGCGGCTTGCATGGCAAAAGAATGTGCCAGGGTGCTTCCAATTAAAAGCTCTGTAGTGCCCCCAGCCCCCACAACACTACTGCCAGCTGAGGTCCCTTGCCCTCTCTATTGATGCTCTCCAGTGGGCTCAAACTGCAGCCCCGCATGAGGGGTGTGAAGTGCAGCCTGAGCACAAGCTGCATGGCCCTGGCAGGGTGCTCTCCCTTGCCCCAGACATGTGAGGGTTGGGCCAGCCCATTCCCCCAACCCCTAAATGCTGGGCAGTACTGGCAACTGGGGTAGGAGGGTGCAATGCACCACGGGGGAGATGAGCCCAGCTCTGAGCCCCTTGCCTGAGGGCACAGGTTGCATTAAAACTTGGACAAAGTCTTGGTAGCAAGAGCATCTCAGCAGAAGGCAAAACCATCGCCATAGGCACATGCTGATAAAGGTCTGGGTAGCTTCATGGGGTGGCACAGCACAGGTCTGGCACTGCCACTGCTGAGATGCCTCCACGTGGCTTCCAGCAGCCCCACAGCCTGCATTGGGTGGTGGCTGACACTGTCTTAGTCCCAGGACAGTACAGCCAAGTATCTCCACCAGCCCTTGGATGGCAGGTCTCTTACTGTCATGTCTGATCACCGTAGAAGGGGTTATCTCCTTTCTCGGCAGAACAAATCAGAAAGGTGTCCCTGGTTGATTTGCTCTCCCTGGTGAAAGCTGCCTGCTGGTGAACAGGAGAGAGAAGGATGCAGCAAAGTCTGCTTTCCCCCGTGATACAGAGGGTGGGCAGATTTGTGGAGGGAAGGGTTTGGTCCCAGGAGGCTGAAAAAAGAGTAAAACCCTTGGATTCTGTTCACAGCCTTCCCACAGTGTGGCAGAGGCATCTGACAAGGGGTGTGGGGCAGACACTCTTCTTCTGCCTGGGTTGGGTGTCAGGGCAGGTCCATACGGTGAGGGAAGGTAGTGAAGAAGAGGGCAGGAGGCTTTATAACAAGAAAATAATCAAAGAAGGAGTCCAAACTACCATCTACTACTTGTAAGAAGCCTCTGATGACCTTACCTTCATTTCTGGGGATATGGAAGAAAACTGACACTAGTCAACACTGTAGGCTGTCAGAGATGGTAGACACCTCATGTTCAAGTTATTGTGTTAAATTATCTTTTCTCTTCTTGGCCAAGAGATCCAGTAACAAAAACGGATGTGAGAACTTAGTCTTGGACTGTACACACAGATATGTTATGGTCAGAATTGCAAGTTCCTTTTGGACAATTTTGTCCCCAGGCTTTCAATTTCTGAGTTCCCCTCTCTTCAGTCATTCTATTCCCCACAAAGGAGTTTCAGTCAACATTTTCAGATCTTTGCGTTGATTCAGAGAGGAGTGTTATTTCAGAAGTTCCTCCTCTCCTGGGATTTCTTTCCCCCCTTTCTTGTGTCCTACAGGACGCCCCTGCTCCACAGTGGGACTCAAGCAGACAGGTGGTGTCAGATCGCAATTCTGATTTTTTTCCTGTTCTTCCTTAAGATGATTCTTTCTCAGATATTGGAGTTGCTCAAATGTGTCCCCAGGCCATTCAAAAGTCTCTACCCTTCAAGAAAAATATCTTTTCTCAGCCCTTTGACTGTGTAGGCACAAAACACACACGTACACCAAGCAATTGAGATCTGCAAGCTCATGCCCCACATGGATACTGCACCTCTTACAACTTCGAAATGGCTGCAGATCTTCCAACCTAATTCCTTCTTGGCACCAAGTGCTTTAAAACCACTTTTTATTATGAGTGATGCCTTACCTAATTCTTTAATTAACTCCTGTAGATCTCCTATAGGATCTCAAAAAGTGAGGGACAATGCCTTATCAGGGTCTTATGAAGCAAGCAAATGAATTGTATTTTATATCTGCAGGTTATTGGTTTTGTCATGTTGTCATTATTATTAGGAAAGAGATAGGTCTGGGAGGCTTTTATACTGAGAAGGAGAGAGAGGAGTCCAGAGCAGGCAGGCATGAGTGATGCACATGAGGTTAGACATCCCTGTAGATCTGACTGGTGTGAAGGCAAGTAATTGAATGAATGTTGGTGGAGAAAATAATTCTTGCCTAGAGACCCTTCCCAAGGAAAATTAACGAGCTGATCTGTTCCCTTTCCAGCTTGTTATATCCGAACAGTGCATGAGAGCTAAGTGCAGATTCAGTGTTTGCAAAAATCAAGACCTGACAGCAAAGTGAGGCAGGGCACAGGCAGTGGACAAGCTTCTGCCAGACCATTCTGGTGCTGCGTCGCTTCCTCTCACTGCCTTCTCTCATTGCTGTTTGTTCCTGGTGCAGCTCTTTCCTTTCATGTCCATCTTATGGGTAGGGGGTTTTCCCTATTTCCCTCTTACCTTTCCCAATTTTCCTTTATTTCAGCCCTTATTTCTGTCAGCATCCCTAGTTTTGCTCTGCAGAATTGCCTACCATCCTACTTCCAAGGATCCACAAGTCTACCGGGTGCTTTCCCCTGATCCTTGCTGACCTAATCCAGGGCCTTTTCTGAAAATTCAGTGGATATAGCAGTAGATTAAGTCAGGGTCTCCATGTTTTCACAGTTCAGGACCGGAGCATCCTAGTCCAGCCCTGAGATGCAGCAGGAGGAAATGGCCCAGCACATAGCTGATTGCTGCTGGTGCTGCATCTGCCGGGGAGAAAAAGGATTCAGAGCTGGACAGGCCTTGGATGAAGAGGAAGACAAAGGATTTTAAAAATGGGGTGGCAGATGGTGAGGAAGAATTACTCAGGATCCCAGACTTGGGTCAGTTTGGTTCTCCTCTCAGCTAAAATTCACACTTGACTGAAGTCACCAAGAAGACAGGGATTTGAGGGGCTGAGAACTGC